CATTTGGGGTTTTGATTCAACTTAATCATCATGTTTATGCTTGAGTCTTAATAGGTAAGCCTAAAGTAGAAGCAAACACAGAGAAATTAGCCTCCTTTCAACCGCCGTTAGCACCAAGCTCAAACCAAAGAAAAACCCCTTCTATTGCTCTCGAAGCTCAGCCGAAACTCCCAACAAAACAGACCCAAAATCAAGCAACAACCCCCCTTTCAATCTGGTTTTTCTCTATAGGTTAAATGCTAGATTTGGTCCCTCAACTTTAGTGAGTTGCACATTTTTGGTCCCTTAACAATTTTTTGCACTTTTTTGATCCCTTAACTATACAAAATGCACTCCGTTAGTTCTTCTGTTAATTTCGACCATTAACTCACTCACGTGGCATTTTTTATTATTTTTTTGATGACGTGGCAAAAACAAATTGAAAACATGTTGATGTGAAATTTTTTTTCATGCCAACTCACATTATTATCATTATTTATATTTTAAAAAAATAAATTAATATAATTCCTTCATCTTTTTCCTTTCTCTTTTTCTTTTTTTTTTCTTCCTCTTCTTTCTTCCTCTCCTTTCTTCCTCGCGGGTCATTGAACCCTCTGCTGGGTTCGGTGGAACCCAGGCGGGGTTCCGTCGAACCCAGCAACTGGGTTCGATGGAACCCAGGTTGGGTTCCACCGAACCCAGATCTGCTGGGTTAGGTGGAACCCAGGCTGGGGGTTTGATGGAACCCAGCAGATCTGGGTTCGGTATCGAACCCAGCAATTGGGTTTGCTGGAACCCAGCAACTGGGTTCCACCGAACCCAGAACCCAGCTCCACTTTTTTTTGGTTTTTTTTTTTTGTTTATATGATTGTTTGCCGTGAGGGATTTTTGGGTAACTAGTTTCTTTTTTTGTTATATGATTGTTTGCCAAGAGATTTCCAAATTGCAGGTTGTTGTGAGAGATTTTTGGACAGTTGAGTTCAATGAATCAATTGGGTTCTGTCGAACTTCAATCTTGAAAATGGAAAGAACACCCTATCGAACTTCAATTTTAAAAATGGAAAAAACATCGAAAAATCTTGAAAATGGAAGAAACACCGAAAAGAATAGAAACAGTAACCGATGGCCAAAGGACCAATTGTTAGTGGTGATGTGGGACCCATTGAATGGATTTGGTGCGTTTTTGCCATGTAGCATGTGACATGGCAAAAGTTTTATGGCATGTTATCACTTTTTTAAGTTTTGCTTTCCACATCATCAAAAAAAATATAAAAAATGCCACCTAAGCAGGGTTAACGGCTCAAATTAACAGAAGGACTAACGGAGTGCATTTCGTATAGTTGAGGGATCAAAAAAATGCAAAAAATTGTTGAGAGACCAAAAATATTCATTTTTTAAAATTGAGGGACCAAATTAAGCATTTAACCTTCTCTATATATATACCCGAATAAAAGATAAAGATAAAGATAAAAATAATAAAAAAGCCTTGCTCTGTCAATCAATAATAATGCTAATTTGTCTAGAGCTGCTGTAGCGTGCAGGGGCAGAGCAGCAGGGGTGCAGCAGGGGTGCAGCAGGGCTCGGTGCAGGGTCATGATGCTGGCACAGAGTGCAGGCGTGCAACCAACGTGGGTTCGGCGCAGCAGGCGGCAAGGGGATTTGGTGCAGAGGAAGGCTGGCGCAGTGCAGAGCTGGAGATTGATGCAGATTCGGTGCAGAGCAGGTGCAGGAGTGATGATTGC